GCGGCTACGCAGTGAGAAATTGAATACCGGTCTCCCTGTGTTTTAAGAACGAGGCAATATATTATGAAGTGGCTACGCGGCTATGCAGTGAGAAATTGAATACTGGTCTCCCTTTGTTTTAAGAACGAGGCAATATATTATGAAGTGGCTACGCGGCTACGCAGTGAGAAATTGAATACCGGTCTCCCTGTGTTTTAAGAACGAGGCAATATATTATGAAGTGGCTACGCGGCTATGCAGTGAGAAATTGAATACTGGTCTCCCTTTGTTTTAAGAACGAGGCAATACATTTATCCCTGTGTCTATCACTGCGTAGCCGCGTAGCCGTGTAGCCAGTCAGTGGAAGTATAGTTGAGTGCATTTTGGTATCCCTGTGTCTATCACTGCGTAGCCACGTAGCCGGTGGCTACAGGTATAGATTGTGTGTGGCAGGGTATTCTGCAATCTAGCCCACCTGGTCGTTTCCCCAAGCTGACCACTCAATACAGGTTCGACTGTACAGCATACACTGCTAGCTAGTCCCATGTCGATTTTCACGTTAGTGGGCTCTTTCAGTTACTTTTTGGGAGATCTTATGGATCTGAGCTTTGTTTAAATCGAAAAGACTGACTGTAGCAATTGTAATTTTAAATATATAATCTATCCACTGTAGACAAGAATTTCGATCCCAGCCAAGTGTCGACACGAGACGACACGAGACACATTTTGAGCAGTTTATTTATTTTGATGTTTGTCTATTTATGCTATCGACCTATTCATGCTTATATATTATTTTCTCCTTCCAAAATTGACTCAGTTAGCAACAATACTCGTAATTAGGATAATCCTAACACAATCCTAGCCGAATTCGATTTCCCTTGAGCTGTTGCGTGACAGAAAAAAAGAAAATCTTCAAGCAATTTAAGTTAAAAATAAAGCCATAAATATTATGTGAAATTTCTACTTAACATACCTGGCTCCCGCTTTCATCACTCATTTGCTTCAATACTGATAATTCAGTAAAACAATTRTTTTCGATGTCGTCTGTCTTTATCTGCCATTTTGAATGTTGTATCGGACGAAAAGGACTGTGGGTAAATACGATCGGACTGCCATTTCCGGTCGCAACGCGATACTTAATTTCTCGAATTCTGTGATTTTTGAAAGGGACTGAATAGAAAGAGAATGATGATAATTACCCGTTTATTAACCCATATATTGTTGTTTTTTGTTACAGCACTCAARTGCATAAACTTTGAAAAGTAGAAAAACTTCAGCCTTAAACCTTTTTGTTTTTCTAAAAAGGGAGGTGGGGGGTTGGGGGGCTAACAGGCCTCCTTTATCACCTCATTTGCAATTAATATCACAAATCTAACAAAGCACACACTCACTTGTGAGAGATCTTTTCAACACTCAAAGATAAAACCGTATCTCTGCTCGCCCATGTAATATTCTCTATAACCAACAGAGGAAAATACAATATTTCAGTTTTGAGTTCTCTTTTGTGCAAGCTTAGCTTCAATCAAGCATAAATTTTTATTGTCTTCTTTGAACAGAGTGTTTGTATTACAATAGGATCTCTGCTGGATAAATAGAGGATAATACAATCATTC